AATTGAAAGGTGCAAATTTGATTCTTGGCTTTCTTACCTGGCCAAATTAACTTGTTTCTTGAGCCTTCTTTAAAATCAAGACTTTTTTTCTTTGGTCCCACATTAGTTCTGCAGTTAAGAACATCTGTGTTTGTGTTCAAAGAATTCTATTGTGATATTTAGCTTCTTGATTTTATTACATATCCATTTAGCTAGATCACAGCGATCCAAATTGCATTGCAGCAGTATTTTTTCGTCATCTTTTATTACTTAACTCATATTTGAGCATACCGATCTGGCAAAACGTTTTTCCTATTTTTTGTTACTTACTCATTTGAGAATATTCCGATCTTGACAAAGTGTTTTTTCAGGTTGTTCATGATAGGGGAAGTGACATTATAATTGTGGGACGTGGCATCATCAAGGCAGCAAATCCTGCTGAGGCAGCTCATGAATACCGTCTACAAGGATGGAAAGCATATTTGGCCAAATCTGCTTGAGATCCGCATTTTGAAGAATAAAAAGATGAGTCGAAATTATGATTTTGTAGGACAATTAATCTAATTTCACTGTAACCCGGAGGAAGGCCTTGGGTACATTATAATGTTTGAAGATTTTTTCAGTTAGTAACTTAAGTGGCTTTTTATGCTAGTTATTTATCATTGTTGTTCATCAATTTTTTGTTCCATCTTAAAGTTGATGAAAGGGGCTTTGTAACAAATGCAAGCTTTCTTTGTTTGAATGTGTACTTTCAAAGTGATGTTGGGTGTGTGGATAGTTTCTCTTTTTTGGATTCCAAACATGTTAGATAAACTACTGTTTCTAAAGGCATTGCTGACTATCATAAAAACTGTTTTCCAAAGAAAACTATTATAAAAAAGATATTCAAATTTCAAAACTCAAAATAAAGGAACGAAAATGCGAGTCTGATGAACTTTAGTGCATCAGGTCTGGCTTTTCTTCATGCGAGATTTATGTCACTTGTCTGTGCAAGAGTGGGGATTCTTGGCGTTGTCTGTGCAAGAGTGGGGATTCTTGCACGGAGTTGAGCACGCCTGGTTTGTGTCACTCATTCCTCTAGGACTCATGACATACCATGAAACACTCTTGAGGAGGACTACATCTTTGAGGAAGAGCGCCTGGGTTTGCGTCACTCATTTCTTTAGGACTTGTGACATATCATGGAACACTCTTCAGGAGGACCACGACTGTGATGAAGAGCTTCGTATAGTTGGTCACGGTGTAACTCCCCCGACTTGAATGATCAAGTTCAGCTAGGCACGATGAATGCATAACTTAGCTAAACATGTCGAACGAGGAGTTGAGCTAAGCTCATTCTCTATGATTAATGTGTAACTGAATCCTCTTATATGCTCGTCCATGTCAATCCATCACCATATGTGCCTTTTTAAAAATGAAAAATAGTGAAAATGTCATTTTTTTTTCTATCAAAGAGTGATTTCATATTTTATATAAAGGATATAATAAAGAAGAAGTATGCATATAAAAGATAAGGTTACAAGATGTCGCAAACTAGTTTTTTTATTATTTTTATAATCATCTCACAAACATGTATGATGATGTTTTGTGTTGTTGAAGTTTCTAGCCACTATGCTTTACAACATGTAACATCACTTTGATTTTGTTGTTGAAGGATAAGATAAAACCATATCCCACGTTCCAATTGGTAGCATGAAGTGTGACTTAAGTAATTGTCGCATAGATTCAGAAATGAAAAAAAAAAAGGAGAATATTGAACACACACAACACTAAGGTTCTAGATCTATATTAAAAAATATATCATAATGTCACACTACACCTTTCTATCCATGTATTGGATGTTAAAGTAAGCAAAGAGATGTTGCCTTCTAAATTACAAAACACAATACATGACCAGAAAATCCATACTACTACAAGAGATAGGTGCATTGCAAACTATCCTATTTAATATAATTGCTACATAAACATGAATCAAGCAAAACTACATTCATTGTTCTTTCCAAATCCTTCCGGTAACTCGAAGTTTCAACTCCTTCCTGTCACCGCCGGAGAAGAACAGAGCCAAGTTCCTCTGAATGATGAGACCGTCAAAACTGTCGCGAACCTTGCGGTGACTATCCCGAATTGTCCTAGGCACCCCTTGCCAGGTCATCTTCCTTCCGTTTCCGCCTACCTCGAGACTGTACGTATAGTTCTTGGCGTCATTATCATCGCCCATAAACCGCAAAAATGCTATGTAGACTGGAGCCATTCCCAGTTGAAAAGCTTCGAAATGTAGACAAAAATACTGACCGAAGCAACTAAAAACCTAGAAACAAAGATGAGCCTCAGAAATCAGCTAACTCACATACATAGACAAGGTTATAAGTTATAGACCACTTCAGAAATATCAAAACTCAACTTTGAAATGTTTTCTACTACTAAAACATGATTACTTTTCTTGTTTAAGCTAGCACGAAAAATCGAAATAGTTACAAGGGAGGTTAGTTTACTCCAACTATTTTATTCTGAAAACTGATCTAAAGCACTGAGACAGGCACAACATTAACACGACGACACATGTTTTTTTAGAGCGTAGCCACTTGTGTCAATGTTGTGTCGGACACTTGCATGTGTCTGAGACCGGACATGCCTTCAACATAGAGTATCAGTGCAACATAGTCAATGAAATGCAGGGAGAATAAAGTTGGGCAAAACAATACCGTTAACATCCAAGTGGCATTTTCAACTTCTTGTGGATTTGATTTGACATAGCGATGATTAAAAGTGCAACCACTATGCATGTCCACTTTGTGATCATCTTTAAGGTGTGCCACCAAGAACCGTATATCACCCACGACAGCACATTCCGAACCAGCATATGGACAGTTATAAGGTCTAAATGCACATTGAGACTCGTGTTTTAGCTTGCTGTAGTAAGGGTATATGCCTATGCATCCAAAACCTTGATATTTACAAGGAAGTTCTAACGATGCAGCCACCTTCTCCAATGCCAAACATCTAATATTTCCAAGCTCGTGCCGACAAGTTGGGCACCGGTCATGAACTCTTGGTTTGCAGCCAGAGCATAGAGTGTGACCATTTGAGCACTGCAATAAAGATCAACAATATATTAGTCTATTGGCTATTTGGAAGGGAGAGACCCAAGAGACCAAAACAACCTGGTGGATTGGAGGGTACATAGCATTTAAGCACACAGGGCACTCTAAAAGCTCACGAACACTGCTCGAAACAGTTCCATTAGGTTTAACGACGGTCTGTATAGGATCATTTATGAGTTCAGGAATTTCTGTTGACTCTTCAGTTTGCGGAGGATCAACCCCTGATCTGCCCCGTATATCATCAAAAAACGGATTACTAGATGCCATACTTGCACGTCCAAACACCAGCAAACCCTTCGTAAATGAAAAGAAAAGGATTGCATTAGCATATTATAATCAATCAGAAACAAAATTCGATAAAAAACATATTTCTCATTATAATATTAGTCTTCCGAGCCAAACTTGGTTTTGGAGCACATTTAACTGTTTAACAAGTTGTAATCTATAACTTTCATCAGACAAAAGTTACGCAAGCAACAACAACCAAGCCTTATCCCACTATGAGGGATTAGCTACATGAATCAAATTACACCAAATGACAAAGTTGCGCAAGCAAACAGACAAAATCCAATAAAAGTCTACAACAATCATCATTCAAGATAACATTCATTCGGTTTATTTCGATGGTCCATTTTATAGTACTATTTATTGCCAAAACAATTATCAACTAGCTATGCTTATTCCTCGAAATGTAACCACCCTCAACACAGAAAAAAGTAGTGTTTTGCCATTATAAGATAACCCTTTTTCAAATGCCAATCAATGCTCTACCTAACATAAGATTTCACATTTTCAACACTGAAAAAGACAGCAATCTTTATTTCAAATAAGTCACGAGTCATGATCATAACAATTATTGTGTTAGCCTTTCCTAATGAGAGCAGGTAGCCTAAACACACTAACTCTAAGGAATCAAAACCACATTATCTCTTTAATCAGACATATGAATAAAGGACAAGACACCCAACAACCATAAATTAATAAGACATGAAAGTAATGTAAAACCAATATTTCAAAAACAAAACCAAAGATCGAACAAATGAGACCTCCAACTCGTGGTTCAATTATTTCACTCTCAGTTAGCTTGACTACAAAAAAAAATAGTAAAAAAGCAAAAGGACAAATTTAAACTTATTCACCATTCGGTTTAACCCAGTTCAACAAACTGGGCCACGACCAAGATCAAACCAACTGACAAACTAGCTTGGTTCAACCCGGTTTTTAAAACATTGAGTAAAACAATGTCAAAATCCTCATACAACTTGGCAAGTCCCACAACCACGATCAAACCAACCAACGAAACTAGCTCCTTCCTGGTTCAACCAGTTGAACAGCACGATTCAGTCCAACCCGGTTTTTAAAGCATTGAGTAAAACATTGTCAAAATTCTCAACAACTCGGCACGTCTCACAACCACGATCAAAACAACCAATGAAACAAGCTTGTTCTCAGTTCAACCAGTTGAACCCTACGATTTGGTTCAACCCGATTTTTAAAACATTGATTAAAACATTGATTAAAACATTGTCAAAATTCTCATACAACTTGGTAAGTCACACAACATGAAAATGTTGTATAGCTACTCAGACAAAACCCCCACACAAATCATGCCAAAACACTTTTTAAAACATCAAGTACAAAACAAAGTATAAACACATGAACAAGACCAATATATAAACCACATTAACATGATAATCCAAAAGACTCATTCTTCACATTTGACAAATTTGCATGCCCTTTTGGGTTATGAAGCAGAACAAACTATTCTATACATTCAAAAACCCTAACCTTAAAAACATCAAACAGATCTACCGACAACATTCAGAAACCAAACACAAACCCCAAAAAGGAAAAAAAATGGGGACACAAAAATACAAATAAAAATCGAAACTTTAAACACCCCATCAACGAAAACTTGCATCAGGAGTAAAAAAAATCAAAACCCAGAAACATAAAACAAGTAAAACATCGAAATAAACAAGAGAAAGAGTTAAAAGAGACAAAAAAAAAACCTGTAATGTAAATTATGTAATGATGGTACGATGAAAAGTGGATTTGAGAGAGAATGAGAAATTTTGGTGGGTGAGTGAGGGCGTGTAATGTGGGATAGATATGCTGATGATGATTATTACTGTTGTTAACAATAAATAAGAGAGTTGAGACAATCACTGAGTGCGCGTCTGCGAGTGAAAACAAAGAATTCAAACTAGAGTGAGAGAGTACCAAAGGAGAGAGAAGAGAGAGAAAGAGATTTTTCTTGAAAAAATACAAATGAGAAAGGGTTCCAAAAGTAGGGTCCATGTCATACTCCTATTTTATTTTATAATATATTTAATTTGACTTTTTTTATTACTCTTTATTTCAAAATAATTATCGTTTAAAATTTTTACACGTAAATTAAAGAATTGCTTAAATGCAATGATGTTGTCATAAAATATTATATTTTTATAAAATTAATTTTATTAATATATTAAAATTAGTATAGAAAATAAAAAGTAAATGACATAATTGAAAAAATAATAATTATTACTACGTTGGAAAGTGAAAATAGCAGTCATTTTAAAATAAAATTTATTTATTAAAACGACATTCATTTTGATATGAAGGGAGTATAATTTTTTATACAAATTAATTAGAGAAAATAGATGATGTGTTGAATATATAAAAAAGTTTTACACCGTCACTCAATGACGACTATACATTCCCTTAAACTTGATCGAAAATTTTAATTTACACTATCAATCAATGACGACTATGATAGAATGATATATTCTCATTCAATAATAATGTAAATAAAAAAAAATTTACACCGTAAATACATCTCTATTAAACTGAATTAATTAATATTGATAAGAATGTATTTAAAAAAAATAATAAATATAATTCTAGAACTTTAAAGTATTATACAAAAGGATAACCATAGTCTTAAGGATTTTTTTAATTCATCCTTAAATAGAGTTGAATCTTGTTGCTTTTACTTATATATTTGAGTTGTTCAAAAGATGCATGAAAAACTTAAATTTTAACATTAGAAATCTCTTTGGATCATATTTCAAATCAATTTAATATTTCGTCCGTTTTATAATAAGTGTTCTCTTTGAAATTTTCTTACTTTTTAATAAAATGATTAATTGTCTTGATTTCAATAATAAAATGAGTGTCATTTACTAAAATAACCTTATTAATAATAGGTAGTTGAGTAGTTATATGAAATAAAATATAATAAATAAGGGTAAGTTAGTGGAAAGAAATCATAAATATCACATTGATATTTTAAAGGGACAAATAATTTAAAACAAATAAAAATAGGAAAGAGGACACATATTGTGAGACGGAGGAAGTATTCAAAAGAATTAAAGATCAACCAGAAAGGTTGTTCAGTAGTAATCTTATGAATTCTCTGTATAGAGAATTCAGTCCTATATCATAGGCTATGTTGAAAAAATTGACCTAAATTTCCATAAGAGATAAACAATCTCATGAGGAAGCAACAAAAAGCAGGTTTCTCAACAAGTATCAAACTGAAGAGGAAGATAATCAAGATAATAAAAAAGTACAGAAAATCAATGGAGTATGATCACACACAAAATCAATGAACAAACAACATTCCCCTAACAAAGGGTCAACCGAGAAACATGAAGATCAAGGGTTAGGAAACCTTCAAACATTTAGAGCCATGAAGAAGATACAAACATGCATCACCCTGACATTATCTTCCTCTCGAAAGTTAAGATACACTCTCTTACTTAAAAAAAAACTAATTTTTCAATAATATGCATAATTACCATGTCATTGACTGCTCCGCTTCTGGTAGAGGCAAGTTAGGAAGTTTGATTCTGATGCGGAACAAAAATGTTAACATGAATGTCTAGATTTCTAATGCAAATTATATTGATGGGTATTTTTCTCTTGTTGATCACTGTAAGATATGTAGAATTACAGGGATATATGGTCGCTCCAATCACTCCAAAAAATAGTTTACTTGTTCTATGATTACTGATTTCTTTAACTCTAATGACTTTGATAACTGGATTATGTGTGGTGATTCTAACATGGTCATTGCCTCTAAGGAAACACAGGGAGATAGTCCAATTGATATTAGTATCACTAATCGCTTTAATGCTACTATTAATAGTTGTTACCTGAATGATATAGGTTACAAAGACAATATTTTCATTTGGACTACTAACCTTAAATAAAAAATTTATTCAAGCTAGATTAGACAGATTCCTAGTCTCTAATAATTGGTTAGAAAATTATCAAAATTTCTCTAATACTCATCTCATTAGGTATGTTTATGACCACATCCCTATATTATTATGGTATAATACTGACAATCAATGTAGATATAGTGCTAATCTAAGACCAAATTTGAAAATATTTGGGCTATTGATGAAGAAAGTAGGACTATTGTTAAAGAAAACTAGAGTAAAACATAGGGAGATAAGCTTTCCAAACTCAACCTCACTCTAGAAACCTTGTTGTTTCGTTTAAAAAAAATTGATAATGTTTCCGAAAATTGCAAGCTAGCTCGAGATATCCTAGTTAATCTCATCAACCAAGTCCATAACCAAAATGACATCTAAAATATCCTTGATGATGTAAACGGACATGGATAATAAAATCAATCTTAAAGAGATAAGGTGGAGCAAAAGAGAAAAAAGTGATTGGCTTAAATAAGGATATGGAAACACTATGTATTCCCATCAAAAGGTCCGCCAAAGAAAGGCTAAACTTGCATTCATCAAATATAAGGTGATCATGGTATCATTTAAAGAAAAAAGAAGGATATTACCAATGTGTTTTAAAACTAATTTAAGAATATATTTACTTTTAATAAAGACTAAAACCACTAAGACATCCAAAATATGGTCAAGAACAGATTGGATACAAAGATGCAGATGGAACTCCAAAAGGAGTACACGACTGAAGAGGTTAGAATTTCTATAAAACAAATGAAAGATACATCATCTCCTGGCTCGGATGGGCTCCTAACTTACTTTTATCAACATTATTGGGACACCATAGGTAATAACATTGCTAAAGTTTAAAACCCCATTAAACTTGATGACTATTGCCTTATCTCTCTGTGCAATTTACCCTTAAGATCATCACTAAGACTATTGCTAATGGGATCAAACCTATTCTTAATAAAAACATTAACCAATACTAAAGTGCTTTTGTTCATGATAGATTGATAATTGATAATGTTATCCTTGCTTATGAATCTTTCCACACTCTTAACAATAACAAAAGTCATAAAAATGGTTATGTGGGTTTTAAACTGGATATAAGGCTTATGATATAATCAAGCAGATTTCATTGAAAACGTTCTTAGTGATATGGGTTTTCCTATAAACATTGTTAATACTATTATTAAATGTGTTAAAAGTGTTTCATTATAGTAATACGGTGGGAGAACTGACTGGGGTGTTTTGCATTTTATCAGAATCATTGTGGATAGCAAGAGTCATCACCGACTTTTCTTTTATCCAATAAAGGAAAGGGTGAAAAGAACAGGAAAGACCTTTTGAGATATTTTCTTGAGTTCGGAGGGTAGGTTATGAAAAGGGAAGGTGTTAACATCCTTTTCATCCGTAGTTATCTACGAACTCTTAGTTGCTAGCTCACTTTGAAATACTTTTGTAAAGGTGTTTGTGTTTGTTTGTAAGTATTTTTGAAAAGTGCCTTTGTTTAGGATAATGTTGTAATGATTCTTGTCTTTATAAGAATGTATACAAAGTGTTGACTTTTTGAAAATATTTCATGAAAGTGTTGGTGTGTTTGAAGGATGTTTTTATTTTGAAATATTTGTGAGCAAACAACTACGAGCGTTCTACCTACTCAAAATAAAGTCTTTGTTCTTCTCCTCCTCCTTTAGATAGTGTTATCTTACCATTAGTTAGTAAGCAACCTTATCATTGGATGTGAAGGGACAGACGTGGGTCATCGTACAATCATAGAAGGCAACATTGTAGGATACCTTAGCAATTTATCATAAGGGTCTAAGATCATTTACCGAAGGCAACATCGAAGGGTCATCGAGAGACTACGATCTTGTAATCGAGGGTCTTTGCTAAAGTATCCCACATTCGAGGGACATGACTGTTTTATTCTAAGACAACAAGTGTGGGTTAACCCTAGAGGTGCAAGTGTGCAAAGTGTTTCTGTTTTCATGCATTTTATCTTGAATTAAGGTTGTCTACTTGTTTGATTTTATGTCTTCCATACAAACCCTAATTACTATCAATAATATGGAAAGTGATAAATTGCGGAACTTAAAAGTTCTACGCTATTACATCGTTTTAGGGGATGGGAATACAAATTACAAATGGGGATGAAAGCGATTAAAACCTAATTAATATTACAACCAAACTAAATAATGCAAAATAAAATGTACAAAAATATAAAGGAAATATAAAAGAAAATAAAATTGTTTTTATGGTTTTGGATGGAAAAAGTTTTAACCTAACTAGTTAAACTAAAATAAATGGAGAGAAGTTAATTAATTAAATTCCTAAATTCTAAAATAATTTAATTAAAAAAGAGCAAATTAATATTAAATCTAAGTCTAAATCTATTTTAATTAATTTAAGAAAAGAAAATATTTTTGTTTTAGGGTTTTATGTTTGAAAGAAATTAAAGTAAAATATAAATAAAATAATAATTTTAGTCTAAGTATTTAATAATTTTTTTTTGTATTTTTTAATTAGAAATAATAAAAATAATAATATTAAAAGGAAATAAAATGAAAATAAAAATTGAAAGTCAGGGGGGTTAGACAAGGAATGTTGGAGGTTAGAAAGTAAAAACAGTTTTTTTTTGTGTTTAAGGCCCAAACAGCTTTTTCGTAACCAGAAAATAAAATAATAAAAAAGAGTATAATGGGATGTGTGGTAAAAATGAAATGGAGGGTGAGAGAAAGAAAAAAAGAAAGGCTCAATATCTGGATGGCTCAGGCACATTTTTGGAACAAAAAGAAACAGAGAAAATGTTATGAAATAAAACAAAAGGTCTTTGGGCTTCGAACCCAGGACCTTATAGGATAATGCCTTATGCGCGCTTGCTGCCACTGGGGTGGCTGTTTTATCCGGTATGTAAACCACTTGCAATAAAGATAAATAGACCAAGTCCTGATTGTACTTCATCTTCTTTCTCGCGCCACATTTTTTAATCTCTAAACTTACTCATTTCTCAACCATTCTCAAAATTCTAAACATCAAACTTGTTAGAAATTCCACCACAGTTTCAAATATGTAACTAACTTAAGCAATAGA